CGAGGTATATGGTCGCTCTACTTCAACTGAAAGGTTTGTGAATTATACTTAAAATTGTTGAAGCCGTTTAATAAACTCGCAGATAACACGATCTGCGAGTTTATTAAACAGTAAATATAATTCTGTCCGTCCGTTTGTTCGTTCGTTCGTTCGTTCGTTTGTTTGTTTGCATGTTTGTTTGTTTATTTGTTTGTTTGTTTAATGGCTTCTTTGATTGCTGGTCGGTCGATCGATCGGCCGAACGATTAAAATGTTTTTTACCTGCTCCTCCGCCACCGCCTCCTCCTCCTCCTCCTCCACCACCACCACCACCGCCTCCTCCTCCACCGCCACCACCACCTATCTTCTGGTTTACCCAACTAATGAAGCTGCTGACTCGAGCAAACACAGTGTAATGATCAGTTCGACATCGACTGTGTCCCCAGCTAACGGCACCGCGGAGAACCCATCGACCACCCTCGTTACAGACAAATGGTCCACCACTGTCTCCTTGGCAACCACCCTTGCCTTGTCCACCGGCGCAGATCATAGACCTCTCATCTACTGCAACGAGTTTACCATTAATGCTTGAGCAGGCCTGGTGACTGGCAACAGGAAGCATGGCTTGTTGGAGGGTGTCGGCAGCATTTCCACCACCAACAGTACGACCCCAACCTGGTGACAAAAAATAGAATATATGAGCCACCTGTTAGGTATATCAAGTAACATTATCTTCAGCTTATTTACCAGTGATATAGCATCGTGATCCCACTTGGGCCTTGCTTCCAGATGATGGCAGACAGACAGTGTTGACCTTTGCGCTGGCTTGGACTGGTCTCTCAAGTTGAAGAAGAGCTACATCGTTTCTCAAGTTACGCATGCTGAACCCTTGATGCTTGTGAAGTTGGCGAAGACGGAAATTTTGCTGGACGGTAGTTGATCCTGTTCTACGGTGTGCACCTTAAAAATATAAAGGACATGTATAACTTATATCATCAGCTTGTCATTGTATTGTACATTTGATCAATCCTATCGAGTCTCTTAAAGATTTTGTTCTGTTTCTCTAAAAGAAGTCAAGGTCGAAGCTCTAAAAAGATCCAACCAAATTGAATATACAATACAAAACATATACAAGGAGAACTATTGTTCATTTTGACCAATCTTAGTGTGTACGACCTTACTGGGGCTGAAAAAATTATAACAACGTAAAAGTCCCACGAGCCAGAGGCTCATGAATAAAGCACTTGACGCCAAATTAGATATAATCTATTTGATTTCTTTATGGAAAGTGGAAAAGCCGGAAAACACAGAGAAAAAAGGGGAGACTGCAAGGATGTGTATTGAACCTCTCAAAGGTGAAAGGCGAGTGTTGTCACCGCTACTCCACCCGTAAATCCATGGTATTCCTATACTTTAATGCACACAATCTCTTATGCACGTGTATCATGCGTCCCTAAATCTTTTTTGGGCAAGGTCGCAGCTCTAAGAAGTTGTAACCCGATTGGACGAATACAATAAAACGAAAACAAATATGTGAACAAAACGATAGAACGAGTAGGCGACAATGAAAATTATTGTTTGATTTGGCGAATCTCGACAGCTCCTCTTGGCGAGTGCGACGTTACTGCCTTTTTTTTTTTTTTTTTTTTTTTTTTTTTTTTTTGTCTTAATGACTTTGGGTTTTTTCTTTTTCTGTTTACATACCAACCACAACGGTGTATCCACTTGGTACTGGGTTTCTATCCACGCAGTGAGCAGCGGTGAGAACCCAGTCAGGTCTGATCAGAGATCCACCACAGATGTGTCTTCCATTCACACGGAGAGAAATCTGCCAGGGCCAGGCGTGTGGCTGGGCGTTAACTCCGTTAACAACACGAGAAGTGAATGTCGTTGCTCCACAAGCTGAGAAAGGTAAAAAAAAAAAACTTTTAAATAGTATTATTTATAAAGGAAACATTAGCTTATTGAACACAATAACTCGGTTCTAACAAGTAACCACTAGCCATTGTTTTCTATTGATGTTGATTAGCAAAAAATAAATAAATCGGCGCGTTATCAGAAACACAGTCATTAGGATGAATCTTTTCGTAAACTTTTCCGGCAAAATCTAATCTCAACCGAGAAGAAAAGTACCATAAAGTTCAATCTTTTTTTCTTGGCTCGTTTTCCATCTTATCATATTTGCTATCACATCATATATTTTTTTCATTGTTAAGTATTACTTGGAAATAATTCCAATATATATCCCAGTGTATCAGGTAAGCGAGCTAACATCTAGATTAACAACCATCCTTAGTGAAACATGAAGGAATTGAGATAGAAGGAGATCTATTATGTTACCTTCCGAGAGGGATGGCCCAAGTAAGGCAAGAACAAGTCCGAGGCAAAAAATCATGTTTCTATCCTTTGTCAGATAGCCTTGCCTAGTGAAGATCCAAGTTACCTCGCTGATGTCTTATATTCTGCTGTATTCAAACAAGCTGGAGAATTTACACAGGTTGTGCAGTCATTTACTTCAAAAGAAGCTGCAACAAAACTCAACAGCAAACATTATGGAGTGTTTCAGGCACTCTACGTTTACTCCATCTTGATGTCGAGATCTTTCGAAACATCTACAAGATAATACGATATTTGCACAGCATCGTTACAAGTCTCTCACTTTAGACAGTCCTATCAAGCGTGCTTATATATTGACTTAACTTTTGAGCTGTCTTTTTCAATTCAAAATGTGATTGTTGATTCACCTTTTAAAGGTGTAAGGGTAGTTTGCTTTACACTGCCATTTTTTTGGTCTTGTTTTTTAGCTTTGAAGATGGAAAATACTAAAGCTAGATCTGCTAAAAAGACTTTGAAAGCTTTTCTACCCTATGTATCTATCAAAACTCAATGTGCTCAACACTTATTGACTTAAACCTCTACGTTCCTTTGAGAACAAAGGTTCCTTCATCATTCAGTCCTTCTTTTAAAGCACACGGCTAGACTAATTTTATCTTTATTGCAGTATCGATCCTAGTTGATCGTCTGTAGAATTAAACATTTTGATAAACCTTGTGTGAGGTGTTTTTATAATTATTTTTTAATGAATATGATTAACACCCAAATCATAGTAAATCCCACTAAAGAAGTATTAAAACTAATTTACTACGACAGCCATGCAGCAGAATCCCTTGCACGCTTTCTTTTATTCACTGATGAAATACATGTTGTATGAATTAAAAATTTGAATAAGAAAGCGAAGCATTTTGCTAGTGGTAGTTAAATGATGCCAACGGCCTAATTGAAAGACACTTAACGTAAGTGGTGTGTCTTGCCATCTCTAGCCCCGGTCCGGAAATCTCTAGCCTTTCGTTAACTTGAACTTGGGACTGCATCCCGTAGACTTGTGTCACTACAATGTTACTCTGGATATCGTAAAGCCCTGTTATTTTGAACCATTTTTCTGATTCCTGGAGGGTTCAAAATACCCGGCCTCCAAAGTACAAGCACGGCCAAAAACATTGATGGGAAGTTTCAATGGAAATGTCATGCAATGTATTTGAAGCCAATTTGGACAAGATATGATATCTTAAGTCTAACATATTTTGAAAAAAATGCATCTTTCTTAACCACGTTTAATTCGATTTGTCATTAACTTCAAATTTGAAAACATACAATTTTTTTCCCAACTGCACGATGATCTTTTCAGTAAATGTATACAGACTACTATCATACGCAGAAGTTTTTCTTTCGCGTCGCTAAATTGATCGGATATCTTTTCCTAGTGTAACCTTGCGCATGCGCGCTTCTTTGCAAATTAACATTTATTGACCGGACACATGAAAAATGCTGTGTACGTAATGTTTTTAAAGCACTCATTTTTATTGGTAATTCTAACATATTTATAACTTTTTTTTTCAATTTATTTTATCTAGGATGACTCTTGCTTTCTTAGTAGATTGACTTCAGTCAGTGGCATGGTCTTCAACTAGTATCCCAATCTATTTGACTGTTAGAACTGAAAGTAAACAAGTTTTGGATAGAAAAATTAGAAGACAATTTTAAGAATAATTTTTTTAAATATCGTAAAACCTACCAATAAATCTGAATCTAGTCGCCCATTGCATTCTATGCCACAGCCAAAATTGTCAATTATTTTCTATTCTCTCTTGTCAAAACGAAATACTTTCCACCTTCAACGACCATATATATGCTATTTCTGAACGTCTATAGATTAAATCGTTGTTTACTGAGCGAAAAACTGAAACTAGGAAATTATAATTATAATCATCTATACTTCTACAAACCTCAACAGAGTCTGCAGGTTCTCTTGCAATTTGCTCTCACATATGGATGATAGGAACAGTAACGCGTCCACATACGACATCGCCTGTCTTTATCTTGGCAAGAACCTTAAAATAAGAAAGGCATTACCATACAGATTTCARTTATAATATATATCAAACATTAATATGTTTGGTTGTCTCTGATTTATTTATTGTTAAGTAGGAGTTTCATCCATTTACCAACATTGGCCTTTATCAGTAAAAATAAATCAAAACATTTGTCCTGGAAAAAAACCTTTTCACATTTATCATTAATTCATGATTTGTTACACCAATAAGTTGCATGCTTTAACTTCACAAGCTTACTATCACAAGATACCCAATCCAACACTGATATTAGCTTGATATTAATTCGATGGATTTTGTTCTAATTATATGCTTAGCATAAAATTCTTCATTAATGTGTTTTGAGAAACCATATCGAAATTTCATCAAGGGATCCCTAACACCCCTAACACAAACACAAAACAATTGCTTTTAAAATACATATATTTCAAAAAAAAAAAAAAAGGTTGACGAAGCTTTTCTCACACGTTGCATGCATTCACATCACCCATAGTGCAGTTCGGCCTTGGTATGCAACAAGCGACATTCAAAACAAACAAACAAAAAAAAATACACCAACCTTTTCAGAAATAGCTGTATTAATGATTATGATATTTTGATAAAATTAATACTAACCTGATCCTCCACCGCCACCTCCGCCTCCGCCTCCGCCTCCACCGCCTCCACCTCCACCGCCTCCACCACCTACCAAAAGGTAATAAATTAATAAACAAAACTCTTACAAAGTCAACCAATTATTTGTAAAGAGAAAGCAGAACAGAATATTCTCTTTGCATATTTGCAAAAGAAAACAGATTCTATCAAAAACTACAAAGGAGGGGTGGGTTGGGTAGCTAGGCACTCCCTTCAAAGTTGAAAAATAACAAAAATAAAGTATTTAACGTAAAACCTAAAAATGATGCTATGTGATGTCTTTCTAAGTAACGGTCACTACCCTTCAAATTCATCTGGGCGCGCAATTCAACTAGTGCGTTGAAATAAAATATAATGTGCTTGGCTAATTGTCAAAATGCAAGGGGCCCATCCTTTCCATTCTGGCTGCAGTTTTCCCTCTACATAATGATTGGATAACTTTGCAAGAGTAGCCCGTTATGCAGGGACGCGTAGTACGAATGCATAAATTAGTGGTTTTCATGACATGAATAGAATGAAGGCATTTAACCCCTGAAATAAAATAAAGAATACTAGTCAACGTGTAATAGCCAAAAAGACGCAAAAGAAAACAATGGAATAAGGTCTACTAAAGTGTATTAGTGTAATATCTATTGCACGGGTTAAATACCTTCACTCTAATCAATAAGAATAAGAATAATTATTAAATGGTACGCTGAACATGCACAAATGATGTCTGAGGATCACAGTAAATATACCTGAGCCGATCTTCTGGTTTACCCAGCCGACGAAGGAGCTGACTCGAGCAAAGACAGTGTAATGATCAGTACGACATTGACTGTGTCCCCAGCTGACGGCACCACGGAGAACCCATCGACCACCCTCGTTACAGACAAATGGTCCACCACTGTCTCCTTGGCAACCACCTCTGCCTTGCCCACCGGCGCAGATCATAGACCTCGCATCTACAGGAAGGAGTCTTCCGTTAACACGAGAGCAAGCCTGGTGACTGGCAACAGGAAGCGCGGCTTGTTGAAGTGTATTAGCAGCACTTCCACCACCAACAGTACGACCCCAACCTGGCGACAAATAAATGCGAATATAAGCCACCTATAATAAGCAAGTAACATTATCATCAAATAGTTTACCTACCAGTGATAAAACATTGTGATCCCACTTGGGCCTTGCTTCCAGACGATGGCAGACAGACAGTGTTGACCCTGGAGCTTGTTTGGGCTGGTCGCGACAGTTGAAGAAGAGCTACATCGTTTCTTAAATTTCTGTATGCTTCGTGTACGAATAGCCGACGAAGACGGAAGGATTGTTGGACAGAGGTTGATCCTGTTCGACGATGAGCACCTGCCAAAGGAGTTCAAAAATAGTTAAGTTACGTTGATAAGTAGTTATGTTCTAAGGTATTCATATTTCAATCAAACATTCAAACTTTCTAGATGTTAAAATTTACGGCTAAAAATGTTATGTTTATATTTGATTTTTCGTCTTCGTCTTCGTCTCTCCTATCTTTTTTTGCATTCCTTTTCTTATCTATTCATTTACAGTTTACTCACCAACAACAACGGTGTAGCCACTTGGTCTTGGGTTTCTTTCCACGCAGTGAGCAGCAGTGAGAACCCAGTCAGGTCTGATCAGAGATCCACCACAGATGTGTCTTCCATTCACACGCAGAGAAATCTGCCAGGGCCAGGCGTGTGGCTGGGCGTTAACTCCATTTACCACACGAGCACTATAAGGTTTGGCACCACAGGCTAAAAAAAGTTCAATATTTTCTTAACATTTCTTAGACTGCTTAACCAATTTCAAAAAGGGACGTACATACCGTATGGCAAGGCAGACAAGCTACTGAAAATAGTGTAAAAGCAAAATATTGTTTTTGAATGTGCCACTTTAGATGCATGGGCTTTTATTCCCGTTGTGAATTCAAAAGGAAGAGGTGATGTAAATATATGCTAGATATCAAATAATTGAAAAAGACAAAAAACTTAGGGAAGGGCTAGATGTTCTAATAACTTGTCAAAATAGTAAATCAAACGCTATTTTAACTATAGTTTAAATCTTGTTCGAAATTGTATAGTGATAAATACCTTCAGAAAGAGATGGCCCTAAAAGGGCAAGCACAAGACCAAGAGCAAGTATCATGTCTTCTCGAAGAATGTATTCCTGCCCAACATGAAGATCTCTCTAAAACATACCTCTCTTATATCCTATTTGGCAAAGACAGCTGTGGTGTTGGAACACAGGTTCAACAAACTATGTTTAAAAAAAGAAATGGAAAATGTCTAACAGTAAAAATACTGATGTTCAAATGCCAGAACTGGTTTAACAGGCCACCATTTGGAAGATAATAGAATGTGTTTTTAGCGCAATTTTGGAGACTTCTGTCTTTGACATGTGTCAAGCAGCAGGTCTAGGTAAGGCCCCGACGCAAGTTTGCATTTGCCGCACTTTAGGCAACTATTGATTCACCTTTAAGAGTGTTTTGTTCTTTTATGGATTTAAGTCTTAGCTATAACAGCATAACATGTCCTTTGACTTAGGAGCCGATCATGAAACATCTATATTTATTTACTTTCAAAATCACACACGTAATCGCGTCATCACGACAATTTGTTTGGTTGAACTGACTTTGGAGAATCAAGTAAAAGTGTACAAAACTTGCTTCAAGAAAGACAATTCAATTTATCAAAATCTTTTTAGTGTATTTACATTTGTATAGCGCACGATCTTCTCGTACAATTTGGAATTAATAGACACTCGTAATGCTTTGAAAGTTCTTTAATTGCACTCGCCTTTATCGTGCGATTTTTTGTTTATAGTTCACTCAACAAAATTTCAGTAAAAAATGCGAAGCGACGCCGTTCATCTTTGTCTATTTGGCGGCCGATTTTCAGTCCATCGCACAACTGAGATGCATAAAAAACATTAGTTCTTACGGCTTTAAAAGTTTATTTATATGTTTTTTAAGTACAAAATGATAGAAAATGTTTATTTACACATTGTTGTGGCCGTGTTGCCATAGCGACTTAATTTGGTACTCCTACGGAGTACAACTAACGCTATAATTGTACTCCTCTCGACCAATCAGAGTCGAGTAATTTTGTTGAGTGTACTATAAAGGAGCTAATACAACGTATACTACGTAGCGATTTTTACGATCCCGTGATCAAATTGTATTAAACAATTCATTTTGGTTTATTTAGTACACTTGTTATGTAGTTAGGAGTCTGAGAACCATGTCGCGTAAGATCAGACAGGAATTAAGTGTGGCTGTTCGCTCGACTAGCTCTCACCTTGGTATCACATGTGAGTAGAGTTTGTTAGGTCTCTCGCTTGATTCTAGGGTTTTACTCCAGCCACAAATTTCATCCAGGCAATTTCATTGGATTTGCCGTGTCCTGGATGTCATCGACAAGAGATTGTTTCTTACTGAAGCGTGTCAATAAAATTTGGAAATTTTCTTAAATTTCATCCCTAGTCGTTTATTTCTAAATTATACGGATTCGTTTGGAATAGCACTTGACTTTGGCTCTCGGTAAAACATGGTTTGGTTGGTATTGAGTTTGTTTCATCACGTATATTTTTGCTAGCGGCACCAAAATCGTATTCGCGCTAACATCATGAGTTGAATGGGCTTTGATTTTCAGTAACTGTATTGTAAATTATTATATGACCGTGAATCTTAGAGCCTGGACACTAGCAAATCGAGCAATCTGATTGGATAGATCGCATCGCGGACTGGTCTAGATTCTCCGGTATTAACCGGTCCGATCGCATATTAATCTTACGGCGAAAACATTTTGTCCTTTTCAATGAAAAGTGGTCATATAATAAAACTCTTATCAACCGAGCTTGGTCGGTATGTACGGGATAATCTTGACCTCGGTCGGGTATTGACCTCGGTCAAGATTATCCCGTACAGACCTCCCGCTCGGTTGATAAGATCTGAATCCTATTTTATTTCAAAAGTTTGGGATGCCGTAATCTAAAAATACTACCAAAGATAGAAAAAAAACATTTACAAATTGGGCCTCATGGGGCTTGACTATGATGACTTATTCATGCATTGTTCCTCTAATCGGAAATAGCTAGCTATTGGTCAATCAACGCGCCAAAAATTTCACAATCGTGGTGAAATTTATTTTCCTTATCACGGGACGGCCAATAGGGCGAGGTGGGGGTGCTATGGCTCCACTTTCGTATTTGAAAATCAAAGCACAGGGAATCCGGCTCTGGAGCCTATGCAATGAGTAAAAAGTAACACACTTTTTTTCTGGAACGGGTTTGATTTCTTAACTCAAAGTTTTATAAATCCGAGAAGGAGGGTGACATCACACGCGAAAAGTGGAACAGCCCAGTCGATGCCCATGGAGCCCATTTTTAATTTTAAAAAATGGTGATCTTGATAATGGTGATGGTGATGATCTTCTCAATGATACTTGTCACCTTCATCAGCAAAAGGCTTTTAAGGGCTGCATTTAAAATTAAGACGCTAATGCTATATTTATCGTAGACTTAAGGCAAACATTTTTTCTTCAATGAATCAGTTTATTTATTTCATTTAAATGAGTTTTTCGTATTCCTTGCTTGAATATTTTTTCTTGAGATGTCATTTTCCTGAAAGTGCTTGAAAATCTGAGTAATAAAATAACATTATTATAAACATGTTCATAACTGTAATTATGGCAAGGATGGAAATACTTCTTATCTTCAGCTTATTCTAAAATATCGATTATCATTTTATCAAAAAAGAAAGTCAAATAACGAGAACCCAAGTGATAAGAAGAGCAAGAAGAAGAAAGAGCAGGCGAAGATCGAGAAGAAGAGAAATGAGAATGATAGCGATGATAACAAAAAAAAAATATTGGTGTTGTAAGGCACCTGAGGCATGAAGGCAATACAACTATCCAAGGATAATGAATTTTAAGCTAAACTATACCTGTAAACCTAAAAAAACTGACCCTAATCCAGAATAAACCAAAAACGACCCTATTAGCAACTATTCGAAAACTTATAGACTGCACAGTTGTCAGGATGTCTTTTTATGTCACTTTATTACGCTTTTTTAATGAGAAGCACATCTTAAAAGCAATTGAATTTGCTGGTAGTTGGAATAATATGTGAAACACCAATACTTCTTACCATCATTTTGTCATAAAAACATAACCACGCCACTCTATTCTTTATAAATTTTTAGCATTTGTTTCCTCGGTATCCCATTATTCAAGATGGCCGCCGTATCAGGAAAAAGATCTGTTCTACAAACAGCAGAGTTTGTAAGTTTTTTTTTTCAATTTTCTTTAACAAATGAATAAGGGAGAAAATCTTTCCACCGACCGTGCGTTTTATTTTCTTTATTTTCGAGTAAAGACTGCTGTTTATTGAGCGAAAATCTTAAACTAGGAAACTATAATAATAATTATAATCATCTATACTTTTACAAACCTCAACAGAGTCTGCAGGTTTTTCTGCAATTTGCTCTCACATATGGATGATTGGAACAGTAAATTGTCCACGTACGACATCGCCTGTCTTTATCTTGGCAAGAACCTTAAAATAAAAAAGGCAAAGATACAAAACAATTGCTTTTAAAATACAAACATTTCAAAAAAAGGTTGACGAAGCTTTTGTCGCACGCTGCGTGCATTCACATCACCCATAGTGCAGTTCGGGTTTGGTATGCAACATGTGACATTCAAAAAATACCACATCAACCTTTTCTGAAATACCTTTATTAATGATAATGAGGCATTATCATACAGCTTTTAATTATAATATTTATCATATATCATATATATCAATTTTATTAATTTTTTGCTCTGGTGTAAAGATATATATATATATATATATATATATATATATATATATCATCATCATCATATATATATGATAGTGATATCAACACTCACCTGATCCTCCTCCTCCTCCTCCTCCTCCTCCTCCTCCACCACCACCACCTGTTAAAAGGTAATACAATAAAAATCAGTAACAAATCATTTCATTTGAATGACAACGGTCAGTATAAAAATACCTGACATCTTTTGGTTGATCCAACTAATGAAGCTGCTGACTCGAGCAAAGACAGTGTAATGATCAGTACGACATTGACTGTGTCCCCAGCTGACGGCACCACGGAGAACCCATCGACCACCCTCGTTACAGACAAATGGTCCACCACTGTCTCCTTGGCAACCACCTCTGCCTTGTCCACCGGCGCAGATCATACTTTGTTCATGTACTGGGACTAATCTACCATTGACTCGAGAGCAAGCCTGGTGACTGGCAACAGGAAGCGCGGCTTGTTGAAGGGTATCAGCAGCACTTCCACCACCAACAGTACGACCCCAACCTAGAAAGTATGGATGATAATACATTTAACGTATCAGCAATCTAAAATAAATAAATATTTTTATCGAAGTGTCTAGTCTTTTGAGTGCTTTCGCACTAATGGATGACACTTTTCACTCACGCACACTACTACTACATTCAATGTTCTATGCACACGACACTTCACTCGCATGTTGATTTGAATGCCGGCAAGTCAGCAAATTAAAGTAACTATCTATCAAAAAGTCGTCAAAGATACCAGTGATAAAGCATCGTGATCCCACTTGGGCCTTGCTTCCAGATGATGGCAGACAGACAGTGTTGACCTTTGCGCTGGCTTGAACTGGTCGCTGCAGTTGAAGAAGAGCAACGTCATTTTTCAGTTGCCTCATGTTGAATCCTTCGTGCTTGAAAAGTTGACGAAGACGGAACGTTTGCTGGACGGCTGTAGATCCTGTCCTACGATGTGCTCCTAAAAATTGATTGTAAAATGCTTCGAAATTCATAGTCTATATCAGTGCAGAGAAAATCTTGAAGGAATTCTACTATTTCATTATTATTGATATGACAAATTTGATAGTGAAACCTCTTTATCCAAAAGATAAATAAGATAGCGCGATAAAGGTCTACGAAATCAAAATGTCAAGGGCAAAATAAATAAGTGTAAATTCAAATTCAAGTCTAGTTGAATGATTTTTTTTTCTTGCTCATTGTCGTGACAGCTTTGTACGCACCTACAACGACTGTGTATCCACTTGGTCTTGGGTTTCTATCCACACAGTGAGCAGCAGTGACAACCCAGTCAGGTTTGATCAGAGATCCACCACAGATGTGTCTTCCGTTCACGCGAAGAGAAATCTGCCAGGGCCAGGAGTGTGGCTGGGCATTTTCTCCGTTAACCACACGAGCACTATAAGGTTTGGAACCACAGGCTGGAGAAAGATGCTTTCATTAGGTTTTACAAGAATATTAACAAAAATTGGATGCAAAAACAGTTGAAATGATAGTAGAGTATAGAAAACTTGAATGGCAACGTTCACATGGAATAATGATTGCTATGATTGCAAGTACTTTTTTAGAAAGTACTCTAGCTTTTTGGATATTTAGACATTGAATTATCACCATTTTTTCCCTTTTTAAACATGGATTTACAAAAGAAAAATTTTCAACATAACTTATAATTCCCTGATAACCAATTCAATAAAATTACCTTCAGTAAGAGAAGGCCCTAAAAGGGCAAGAACCAGTCCAAGGCACAGAATCATGGCGTTTCGACTGTCTTGTTAACCAAATGTTTAACGACGATAATGTGGTTCAATGTTGACCTGTTTTATATACCCGTTATGTGTGTCAGCTGCATTCGGGTTTTGCAGGCTAAACTAACGTTTACGACTGAGAAAACTATCAAAAATCTAGAAGACAAAAGTATTTGACGAGGGAAAGACTTCCAAGTTGAACCAGCAAGTTAACTTGATGTTGCTATATTTGCCTGTTTAAGCAGAATGAATTGTGCAGCTTGAAGCCTGAGCAAAGTTTGCCAAATAACAAATAAACCAGTAAGAAAAGTTGTCAAGTTGTCGTTATATGGTCAAAAGTGAGTCATTTATTCATTTCAGATGTCTTTTGCCTATAAAAAAAGGAGAAGAATTGGCGGACTTACATTCATGACGATTCTTTAAGGTATCAGGGTACCCCTAGCGACCATTGTGCATTCAACTCTTAATAACACAAAACCTTTTAATCGAAACCTCAACAAAGTATACATTTTCTGAAAGCTGAATAAATGTAAAAACTATTCCCTTTTTCCTTTTTGTAAAATACATTTATTCTTTTAAGTTAGAGCGAATTATTCAAATTTTCACCGTGGCATCTTCGCGGAGTTTGATGACAGCCGGTAATAATCGGAAACCAATGCTTATTACCTTTCCGAGATCACAAGACATCACTTGTCAAAAATGTGTCTCCGATTTTTGATTATAGTTGCCCCGTTGCTTTTTTATCTTTTTGCTCTTAAAGTTATGACGCTGCTATATCACCGGTATGCAAGCCAAGATCCACGATAACTTTGGAAATAAGCAAAAAATCAAAAGTCGGAGATACACTTTTGAAGAACAACTATCCAAGATGACTTCCTCAAAATTTCAGTTAAATCGGTTCAATTCCCTTTGACATCGGACTCAAAATATACGGGTAACTGAACGCAAAATCACTTCCGAGAAAAACGCATAATAACTTGATACCTTTCAACCTTCAAAAACACTTCAAATTTTATTATCGATACCTTATAACAACCTTGATCTGCTCGAAAAGATCATATGATGACTTCAATTATGCGTGCTTCGATTCAAATGATGATCTAGCCAAGCCCAGCTGTCCTAACAAGTACGTATGCGTGATTTGTATGTCGGGTTCCAAAAATAGCATCTTTATCTAGTGTCGTTTATAATGGAGGTTGTATTTCTTATGCAACCGCGGAGAGGAGAAAAGATTTGGTCGCAATTCGGATTACCCTGATGGCAGAGTGTCTTTTTACTTTCCCCCGAAAAAGAGAAATCAAAAGGATTCTCTCCCAGCAAGTCAAATTTAGAGGACGGTAAACCGCAATTTTCCTTTATTCMATAATGGATCCTTTTCTGTCTTTTTAAGTTTATAAATGCGTAGAAATTTCATTCGATATCTCTTGTTACATGCACTACAAGTGTGCTATTTCTTTTTATTTTCAAGCAAATCTTACATAGTTCAATTAATCCTTCCACTAGCAAACATTGAGACCACAGGATATCTGAAAAGCAGGAAAAACATACACTGTAATAAACACAGCACATTTTAAAGTGGTATGTTGTAAAACATTGACTGGACTGGACTGACAAAACATGGACTCCCAAAACATGGACTCACAAAACATGGACTCCCAAAACATGGACTCACAAA